CCACCTTTCCTGGGGTGGGACAGGTCCTTGCATTACAGGAACAGACCATGAGAGAAGAGGCTGTGGAGGAAGCAGGAGGGAAGGGCGGGTCTCACTTCATGACAGGGTACATAGTGTTTCCAAACCCAAACCCTGGGACTCCCAGCCACACCTTCAGGGATGGTCAGCAGCAGTGTGCCCGCCAGGCAGAATACTGTTCTGTGTCTCAAGGGATCCTCAGGCCACTGGCCCACACTGCCGGGCATTGCCCTGACTCCCAGGAACCAAGACCCTTTCCCGAAGAAGATTGCAAAAGGGGACAGGCCTCCCCAGGAGCACCAGTGGAGCAAGGCATAGTGTAGAAAAAGAATTCCTGCCGGCTCTTGGCTAGAAGGGGGTCCTGAGCCCCAGGACAGGCTCTTCCACCCCAGCTTTGAGCCACACACTTCGACCCAGCCATATTCCACAAGTAACTGCAGAGTTCAACACTGTTTGGCCTCTTGTGGTCATGTGACCCACCTCTCAGACCTGGATTGTCATCTACCCCCTGGCAGGCTGCAGGAGTGTTCCCTGCCCCTCTTCCAGCCTCTCCATTTAGGATTTAGGGACAGTTTCCCCACAGGTCCCTAAACACCCTTCATAACCTGTTCTACAAAGAAGGCAATACAAGGCTCTAGAGTGACTATTACCCAAGATCACACAGCAGGTTGCCAGAAAAGTCCATGGCTCTCAGCCATATTTTTAAGGTTTTCGTCTTCAGTTGGTTGGTGACTTCGTGCAAGTCCCTGGTCTGGGTCACCCCGAGAGGATCACTAGCGTTAGAACTACACCTGCCACTGCTCCATACACGCCCTTGAGGAAGAGAATGGTACCCCCCCTGCCAAACCCTCTCAGTGCCTCCGGGGTCCCTCTGAAGCCTCGGAGCAACCGGGTCCCAGGACTTCCCGCCACGATCATCAGCCCCCCCCCCCATCTGTCCCGGCCCATGTCACCCTCCACCCATAACCTAAAGCGTCTGTTACCTTCCCGTCATGGTAGCTGCGCGCCTAGCACCGGTCGGCAGTCCACTGGCCTAACGGAGGACTCACAGTCAGGCAGAGGGAGGAACACGCCCAGACCCCGAGGGCGGCTCCACCCAGCCGGCAGCCGGGCGAGGGCTGCGGGCGACAGTCTCAAGGGGCGCAGGGGATGCCCGTGCTAGTGTCAACCCTGAGACCCTAGCGACGGACACTAGAGGCACCCAACATGAGTGGGTCGGTCACGTCCTCTCCACCCGGTCTCCGTTGCCACCTCCCGGATTCCGGGCATACTTTTCCTTTTAAAGGGAATGAAGTTATAATAAACATGCACAAGTTCGCACCCTACCCCGCCCCCATTCACCCTGCCTCCCACCCTATCCATCCTTCCCCCACCCCCACCTCCACCCAGAGACGCTTTTAAGGGATGTATTAGGAAAGCAAAATTCAGACCGCACGCACACTTGCACGGGCACTTCCTGGGAGTTCCTGCTGGTGCAGCAGGCAGGAAAAAACAGTCCGATTTATGTCTCCAGGACATTTCTGCGCTCTACTCTCCCCATCCCCGGCCCCCCACCGGGGCCACTAAGTCTATGCAGTCCCCTCTCAGAGAGGACAAGGTCTAGGGTATCTTTCTTGCACGGTGTGCCTAATTCGCCCTCAGACCTAACACCAGCGCTCTCCCAAAAACAGCGCGTTTGTATACTTATTTTGGACCAGGTTTTATGTAATCCATGCTCTCTTCAAACACCCTTTTAGGTAGTCAAGAACGACCCGAGTTCCCGATCCTCCTCCCACTACAGGGATGACAGAACGGGACTCCATGTAGATTGCAGGTTGTGCTGAGGATGAAACCCAGGCTTTGTGCAGTCACGTCTCCCGCTGAGCTGGCCAAACGGTGTCTCTTAATAAAATCAAACCAAGACTCCTGTCTCTAGGTAAATGCTGCTGGTAAAGGAAGATCATCGGCCAGAAAATGCCCTGGTGACATAAACACATTCAGGGAGTGATTGCTTTGAAATCCTGTTCTCACAAAGCTGATATCACCAAGGAGCAGGATCTTCAGTTGTTCTCATTATTATTATTTTTTTTTATTTTTTATTTTTTGCATTTGTCTTGGCCCTTTCTGTCAAGTTGTAAATTTGAGAGTTGGTCAAACACAAAGTGTGAAGTGCTCTGTGGTTCCTCCGCCGCTGTGGAAACACAGCGGAAATGTGTCCACGACTGTCAACACAGAGAAGCAGGCATGCATGGCAGAGAGGGAACTGACTGCCGGAAAGAGGTCTTGTAGCAACCATAGAGAATAAAAAATCAAACACGGGGTTTGGAAAGATGGCTCATAACACAAGCATGAGCACCTGAGTTCAAATCCCCACCACACAAAAAGCTGGAGATGACCCTGTGTGCCTGAAATCCCAGTGCTGTGAAAGGCAGAGGCAGGAGGACCACTGGCTGCCAGTCTAGCTCCCAGATACAGGAAAGGACCCATATCAAAGGCACATAGTGGAGCATGATTGAGTAGGGCAGAGAGTGATTGGGTAGGGTGCCTAATTTCCTCCTCTGGCCTCTGTGTGCATTCACCTGCTCACCCACCTCCCACCTAGCACACACACTCACCCCCGGATATTGTATGATTGCCGTATGACTGTGGGCATGCAGGAAACTGCCTATTTGTTCACCTGCTTAGCCCCACTGCAGATACAGAGCTTCCAAAACAAAACCAGCTCTACAATGGGGACACAGAGAATGCTAGGACATTCTGATGAATGGCTACTAGGCACATCCTGCAAGGAATGTGTCTTGCCTTGGGCCGGGAGGCAAAGAGATCGGACACCCACCGTGTTTTGCAACTGTTAGGATTTAGTGGAGATGTAGGTGTGGGCATGGTCCCTGCCAGGCATGACAGGTGCTGGGGTGGGGCAGGTGTGGGAGTGGAGTAAAGTAGGACACGTGGGTGAAGGTATGTTTATGCTGTGGGGTTGTGATTTGTGCTGGGAAGCAGGAGGAAGCAGGCTATGAACTTCCACTGTCACAGAAGTGGAAGGTTTGATTCAGGTACAAATTAGGGCTGAACGGATCCCCAAAGATGTCCCTGTGTACAGAGAGCTCTCCGTGAGAAGCAAGGGAGCAGAAGAGGTCCAAGTTGAACAGGGCAAGCTTAGTAAGGAGGAGTGGCTGAGGAGTCATCTCTGTTAGTAAAGTTTTTACCTTGTGTGCACGAGGCCAGGATCCACTTTAAAAAATAAAACAAAGCCAGATATGGTGACATGAGTTTGTAATTCGAGTACAGGGGAAGCAGAAACTTACTGATTTCTGGCCTTGATGGCCAGCCAAACTAGCCTAGTTGATGTGTTCTTAGCCAGTGACAGATTCTGTCTTTAAAAAAACCAAGGTAGACAGCACCTTAGGAATAGCAGCTGATGCTGACATTCTAGCCTCCGTGAATACAAGCACACGCATGCACCTGCATCCATACAAATATCTACAAAGAAAGAGATAAGGGGTACCATGGAACCAGAAAAGGCGCCCTAAGGAGCTAGGGAACAGTTGGCCCCCATCTGCAAGAACAGGAAGAGATCTGAGATGGATAAGAGCAGGCCCAGGAAAATGAGGGCTTCAAACCCAGCCCTATCACAGAGGAAGGGGAACAGGTACCCTAGAGAGGCTGAGCCCAGGAGGCAGTGGAGCATTGTACCTGCCCTGAAAGGAGGAAGAACAACACACAGCTTTGTGAGGCCAGGGGACCAGGGTGGTGCTGCATTATGTCCGAGCTGAGCTTGGTAAGATGGACACAATGGACACTCAGAGAGAGGCTTGAATCCCTGAGTGCTGTGACTCAGGGAGGGGAGCCCAGATGGACTCTGAGATGCCTGAGGTGAAGGACAGAATAGAGAGTGACACAAGGATTTGTCCCAGAAGGAAATGAAGGTTCAGAAGCTTGCCAGAGGCAGAGCTGGAGCTCAGAGCAAATGAGTCCCAGAGAAGACAGACCAAGTCTCTGATAAAGCCTTAGCATGTCTCCTCTGCAGGCCTGAGGCCAGTGCTGCTCAGGGATGCTCAGGGTCTGGGCACAATGCCAGACCAGGAAGATGACGATGAAGAGAACTCAAGGTCTCCAAGTGCCTCAGCTGGCTTCTTCCAGCCCCTGGAAGAGCCAAAACAAAATCTTAACATAAAGAGGAGAATGAGCAGGGCTTTGCAGCTCCTCCAAAGTATGATAAATAATCTCATGATAGAATTTTAGAATCACCAGGGAAACAAATTTCTGGCCACATCTGGGGCTTATCCAAATTAGGCTAGTTGAGGGAGAAGACCCTGAATGTGTCACAGTGGCTAAAGGTGCCTGACAAACTGAGTTCTGTCCCCAGCCCACATGATAGAAGTTGTCTCCTGACCTTGATGAGCAAGCCAAGGTATGTGCACACCCAGGCACACATACAGACTGTGATGGCTAACCTTGGTTGCCAACCTGGCTATGGAATCAACTAAAACCTCAGTGCTGGACGCTGCTGTGAAGAATTTTCTTGACTGGATCATTTGAGGTGGGAAGGCTCATCCTTAATCTGGGCCACACCTTCTGGTGGCAGAATACATAAATAGACATGCAGTAAGGAATCTTGCTTCTAGCTTGTTCGCCCTCACTCTGGATGGCAACTTCATCAGTCCTGTTGCCTAGGCATTCCTTTGCTGGTTGGCGTTAGGACCCGCTTCTCCAGGACTCCAACACTGCCACGGCGGAGACATTTAGCCTCATGTCTAAATGTCTGAGCAACTGAGCAACTACTGATTCTTGGCCTTCCGGTCTGGAGACAGGCATAGTTGGACTAGCTGGACAGCAGTCTATAAGCCATTCTAGTAAAAACTCTTTCAATACAGATTTTTCTGTCAGTTCTGGTCCTCCAGAGAACTCTGATTGACACACACATACACACAAATAAATAAATGTCATAAGTTTTTGTAATTAAAAAAATAATAATAGTAAAGTGGCTGAGGGTGAGCATTCACCTGCTTGCTGGACATGGCTGATGCGGGGGCCAGCAGCCAGCTGTTGCTCTTGCTGCCATGCCTGTCCTGCCATGAAGCACTGTTTTTACTGGAACTGAGAGCCAGAAGAAAGTTTCTTCGTTGTCTCTACAATGAAACAAGTAACTAATCCACGAGGTGTTGGGTGGATTGTATCCACTATGGACAGGCCCTGCAGAGGGAGCCCACGTGCTTTCGCCAAGCAGACAGAAGGATGGTGGAGTACAGTTAGGCAGCCAGCCACGTGGGATGCGAAATCCTCCCTGACAGAGCTCTCTCCCCTGCCTCTGGGTTATGGCTGGTTTCTGTGAGGAGTTAGTAGGGGCGACAGCGGTCATGAAAAGGACAGGAGGAAGAAATAACATTCCCACCTGGGAAGGACATAATCTTCTCACAGTGCTCAACTAACAAGCCATCCATTACCCGGTACCATCCATCAAACCAAAGCCGTTCCCTGGACATGTATTTCTCTATTTCAGCCAAATAATATCATTGGTTTATGGGTGTTTTCTATTGGGGCTGAGGAAATGAACTGTGAGGAGAGGGATCAAAGGGAGAAGTGATCTGGGGAGCCTTCTAAGGACCAGCCCAGAGACCAGTTGGCTGTGGGACCCCACCCTTCCTAATACGGAAACATTCTGCTTGGGTGAATGCCCCCCCGCCCCGAGTCTTTACTTTCTTTGTCCATGGGTATTCAGTTCTTTGTTGTCTCTAGGACAAACATGGGCATAGTGGGGCAGCTGGCCCACGTTTTCCCACAGTCCTACCACATGTCCCTCTCAGGACGTCAGTGGGTAAAATGCCGAGCCAGGGTGGAGTAACGCTCACTCATCTCCGCTCCAGAATAAACCTTGTCTTTTATTGCTTTGCTATATTGCATTTCTTTGGTTCTTTCTACAGCCTGGTCTACATAGTTCTGGGTGAGCCCAACGCTACACAGTGAGCCCTGACTCAAAAAAAAAACAAAACGAAAAAAGTCACGGCCTACTTTAAAGGCCACCAGTCACACCCTTCCAAGGGGCCTACTCATCATTTAGTCCTGTTCCAGCTGTTGAAACTGACAGCTGAGTTGGGAAATAAAAATGATGGTTTTTGTTTTGTTTTTTCCAATTTAGCTAATGAGTGTCCTCTGGGGAGGTTTGGAGGAGGGGGAGTGTTTTGCAGAGGTCACACTTCGACTTCTCTAGAAGGACATGAGGTACCTTATGGCTACAGGACTGATTCTGTTTTAAAACAGAAAACTTCCCTAATCTCTTTATCTCACTGAAATGAATCCAGTTTTAGTTACATTGTGTATGGAAGGCAGTGTTCAGGTTTTAGTCCTAGGAATAGTTTCCTAGTCAAATATTAACTGTTGCAAGCCAAAGGGTAAGTATGTGTGCTCTGAGGGCAGTCCCGCAGTCTCCTCTAAACGCAAGCTCCTGCTCCAGGAGGGAGGAGTACAGTCCCGGGCCTCAGGAGGTAAACAAGAATGATGTCACACATCTAGGAGAACAAAAACTTGGAAGATTCTCCCAGCTCCCTCCCATTGAAGAGAATTCTTAGATTGTCAGCTTCCTGCCGGCTTCCCAGAGAGCCCCAGGGTTGCAGACTGGGCTGGGCTTTACGAGCTGCTCCTGCTTTTGAGCCAACCCTACGCCATGTGAATAACTCTGGCCATTCCTAACCCAGTGAAAGCCACTGTTCAGCAAGGTAGACACCGGGAGAGTTGTTACTTTGGTGCACAGTGAGTTCCCTTTCTTGGGTGACTAGTGGCTAAGTGTTGTCTCTCCAGGGAAGGCCTATCACACAGCACCATGTGTATATGTTCATGCATTAACTGGAGATGTCTGTGCATCTGTGTGGGTGTGCACATAGAGGCCGGAAGTCATAGCTGGATGTCTTCCTTAATCACTCTTCTTCTTCCTTTTCTTCCTCTTCTTCTTCTTTTTTTGAAACAGGGTCTCTGACTAATCTGGAACTCACCTAGTAGGCTGGCCAGTGAGTCCCAGGGAACCACCTGTCCCTGCCTCCCCAGCTCTGAGATTACAAGCATGTACCACTAAAGCTTTTTTTTTTTTTTAAACAAAAACAAATAAACAACCACACAAAAGGGTTTTAGGGTCAAACTCAGAACGTTTGCAGGCCAAGCATTTTACTGACTCAGATGTCTTCCCCAGCCCAGGAAGGTTAGTCTAATGGGGGTGGTGTGCTTACAGACTCAGGGAGAACACGGTAAGTCAAGCATATTTTAAAGGGGAATCGATGCAGTTTCGCATAGAGTTTTTGTCAATTCGGTTCATATCGTTGAGATATATGTCAGAGTGAAACTTAATACAACTAGTAGGTGTTCAGGCCAGGTAGAATAGACTTTACCTTTTTAATTAGCACACAAAATAATAAATTTGGTTATGAAATTTTCATACGTATCATTGTACTTTGTTCGTATTCGTTCCTTATGGCTCTCTCTTGCTCCCTCTCCGTGTGTGTGTGTGTGTGTGTGTGTGTGTGTGTGTGTATGTGTGTGTGTTTGTACATACACATACATTCGGAGGCCAGAGAACCAAATCTGGAGCCATCCAACTTTCTTTTTCCTTTTTTGTGTTTTTCTTTTAGACCCAAGGATCTTGCTATCTCTGCTACCTTAGCACTGGAATTACACTGTGCCTAGTTTTCTTGTTGTTGTTTGTTTATTTATTTTTCACAAGTTCTGGTGATGAAATTCAGGCCCTCCTGCTTGCAAGGCAAAAACTTTATTGACTGAGCCATCTCCCCAATCCTCCTTGCTTCTTAGAGCTGGACCAAGGAGCTATACAAGTTCCCAAAAACCATGAGGAGGAAACTACCGTTCCATCTGCACCTCTCACCTGGACAGACGCCATTCAACAAAAGCAGTTTCGAATAGCCCTTATTATTCAGGAGTGACGTGTCTCTGTCCAAATCTCAGCTTTGGTCACCCAACCAGAGGACACTGGGGCCAAGGACATCGCTGGCAAAGCATTTGTCCAGCATACACAGGCCCTGCGCTCCATTCCAGCACAAAGAGATAAAAGCAGGACCCTCTAGGCACACAGACAAGTTTCCCCCTGCAGGGCCACAGTCAGACTACCTATCCCTAAGACACCAACCACAAACCAAGATGCGTCCTTCCCATTGTGACAAGCAATCCTGATGGGCAAGCTTTTCATCCAAAAAGGTCAGCAGCCCCTCCTACCATCCCCTAAGGGTCATCCCAGAGGAGACCCAGTGTGTAGCCCAGTGTGCTACCACACTGACCAGCCCCAGGAGGGCAGGAGGCCCAAGGCTGTTCCCTTCCCCATCTAGCAACACAAGCGTCAGGATGGCGAGGCTGGGGCAGAGGACCAGAGTTTGCGAGTAGAAGGACCCTCCCAAACCTAGCACTCCCATATCACAGGTTATTTTTCTTTACCTTGCGTGTCTGAGACGACAGGGAGGTGTCTACCGCCCCGGGGCCCTCCTTCCCTGAGCAGCTCCTGTGAGGGCAACAGCAGCTACCCAGGCTGTTTGGCACAGCCACGTGGAGACAGACTGGGCGGTAACCAAAGTTTCCCACCGCTGCCGCTCCCTGCGCTCTGGTCTCACCTCTGCCTGGGCAGGAGACTTGGCCTGAGGTCCAAGCGTAAGACGGTGTGTCCGGAAGCACTTCGGGGTCAGCTAAGGACAAGCTGGGACAGAAGACGTTTAGGAAGGAAAAGCTTGCCTCCTTGGAGACCCAGGATAGTGGGACAAAAGCAGTGAGAACCGCCCTCCGGTATCAGAGGGGCTGGCAAAGAAGCAGCTGCCTATGTGAATCCTTCTTGGGGTAAAGAGGTCATGAGCCCTTGGGAAGATCAACGTTCACAGGGCAGATGGCCAAGAAAACGGAGCCCATGGTGCCTAGGGAAATGAGGCCCTCAGCCTCAGCTACCAAGATCCCTGCTGCTGAGTATCGCTTCCCTTGAAAGGAGGGAATTCTCCGGACCATTTGTACTATCTTAATTCTTTTCTTCTATAGTTTTTTGCTTTGAAACTCTTACTGCATTGAAAAATGCACGGGGATAGGAAGGAAAAAGTCACCTCATGTGTCACCACCCAGGCCGGTGCTGGCCACCTGCTTATGTGTGGGCTTAATTATCCCTGGCTTGTGTTGTCTACGATTTTTGTTTTAAATATTTATTTATATGTTTATATATGTTTTTATGTGTATGGGTATCTTTCCTGGATATATGTACACTGTGTGTGTGCCTGGTACCCTTGGATGCCAGGACAGAGCACCGGGTTTCCTGGAACTGCCGTTACAGCTGGTTGTGAAACACCATGCCGGCACTGGGAACTGAACTCGGGTTTCCTGCAAGAGCAGCAAGAGCTCTTAATCACTGAGCCATCTCTTCAGCCCCTTTGTTTTTGCTTTTTGAAACAGAGTCTCCTTTGGCCCAGACTGGCCTTGAACTCACTATGTAGCCAAGGATGACCTTGACCTTCTAATTCTCCTGCCTCCTAGTGGCTCCCTAGTGTTGGGATTACAGCTGTGTATCACCACACCTGGTCTAGGCTACCAGAGATGGAGCTTTCAATCACGAAGGGGAAGCAGTCTGCCAACTAAATCTCTGTTTAGACGGTTTCGTGTCTGCAATGCCACAGTCTCTTCATGGCGATGCGTAGACGTTCGTTACCCTCTTGGTTCCAATCTGAGATTCCCTGCTCCCACAGCTTCCGGAGCCCCTTTCTCGTGGTGCTGTCAGGGACTGTTTCCAGGATCTACTGGGAAGAGATTCCAGGAGTCACACGCACATCAGGGCTCGAAGAAACCCCGGACAAATGGCTGAGTGTCTTAGTTAGGATTGCTGTGACAAATCACCAAGACCAAAAAGCAAGTGGTTTCTTGTTGTGGTGGTGGTGGTTGTTTTTGACTTACACCTCCCCACTGCTGTTCATCATCACAGGAAGTCAGGATGGAACTCAAAACAGGGCAGGAACTGATTTGGAGGCCATGGAGGAGTGCCTGCTTTCTGATAGAACCCAGGGCCACCAGCCCAGGGATGACACCGCCCACAATGGGCTGGGCCCCCCCCCCCCCGTCAGTCACTAATTAAGAAAATGCCTTACTGTCCAATTTTATAGAGGTATTTTCTCAATTTAGGGTCCCTCCTTTCAGATAACTCTGGTTTGTACGTCATGACCAGACATCACACAGAGGTGCCCATTAGCATATCAAATAAGATGCTGGCCTCCCTTCTCTCAGTGAGTTCCTATTATAGAGTCCTTCCCTCACCCCTTACCCTGCACCTAAGAGGATTGCTTCCCTTCCCTTCCTCCAGCTTCTGATTCCTATATATCGCAACCATTTTGGCACTCTCTTGGGTCCCACGTGCTGTCTTTGCTTGTGGCTCTGCTCTTGGCCTTTGGTTCTTCCTCCGCCTCTTTCCCCTCCGTCCTCTTACTCTCTTGCTCTCCCCACTGCCTCTCTTCTCATGGCCCAGTCTATTCTGCTAGCCATGTTCAGTCTGGAATCTTTCAGATGCCTCTGGCTGTGCTCTCCTTCCTATCTACAATAAAACCTTCTTTTCAACCATACCTAGGAACAGCCGTGTCCTCATTCCCCTTCACATTATGCATACACTTTATACATCCAGCATTTATAAGCAAAGCCAGTTGACAGTTTTGGGGAGAGGGCTTATTTTGAGATGGGTTCCTGTGTATCCTTCAGCTGGCCTCCACCCCTCTAAATAGTCAAGGATGAACTTGAACTTCCAATGCTCCTTCCTTTACCTCTTGGGTGTTAAAATTACAGGAGTGTGCCACCATGCCAAGCTCAGGAAGTGCTGAGAATCGTCAGGGCCCTGGGCATGTGAGACAGGCACTCTACAGACTGTGCTACTTTGCCAGCTTCTGGATGATGTCTTTCCAACAAATCTTACAGCCCTTGTGAGTGGCACTGTTCACTGTCAGACAATGCAGAACCAAGCAAAGGGCTGGGTAGAGATGCAGCAAGCTCAGGACAGTTATCAGAACAGGGAGATGATACTGTGTTGCCATGCTGTGGAAAAGAGCCAGCCAGTAAGTTATAAATAAGTTGTGGGCCAGAATGCCAACCTCCTTTCCTCTTGCTGGCCCCACTCTCTGGACCAAGAACAGGACTCTATTCAGAAACGCTGCCCAGTAAATATTTGTCAAAAGCAAGTTGTTTTAAACCTTTAGCACAGTTTCAGTTTCCTGTGCTGGCAACCTATGTTTACGCTGAACAGCTCACTCTGGGCCTGCAAAGAAATTCAAATCCTGAACACTCTGACTTGAATTTGTGTAAGTGGCAAAGACATCTAAGTCTCAACATCTAGCTCCCTAAAAAGGCAATTTGTATTTGCTGCTTTATTTTTTATCTTAAATGTTATATGTGTGTGTCTGAGTGTATGTATATGAACCATTTAGAAGCCTTTGGAGCTTAAAATGTCTAATCTCCTGAAACTAGAGTTATACATGGAAAATTTGACTGTTTGAGACAAGGTCTCACTCTGTAGCCCAGACTGACCTGAGACTCACTGTATAGCTCAGGTTGTCCACAATCCCAAGTAACCTACCGCCTCAGCCTCCCAGATGTTAAAATTACAGGAGTAAGCCACCATGACTAGCTGGACATTTTAACTACTGTGGCTAACCTAAATAACGGATTCCCATGGCAACTGGGGCAGAGATTTGCTTTGTCATTTCTTTGTTTCATTTGTGGTTTGATTAAGTCATTTTATGAAGACTGTTTCTTCTAAAGGGGACAGCCTTGGAAGGCTGTGTCATGTTCCTCCTTAAGCCTGGCTACATAGAGTTTACTCAAAGTCTAAGCTATTTACTGGTAAAAAAAAAAAAAAAAAAAAAAAAAAAAAAAAAAAAAAAAAAATTTGCATGTGAGCATGTGAGACCTCTTGTGCAGTTTGGGCAGATTTGTGTGTGCAGGTGTTCTTTTGAAGCAGAGGCCAACCTGCTGTTGTTCCACGGAAACCATCTACCTTTGCTTTTATTGCTGTTGTTGTTTTTAGGAGGGGTCTCTTGCTTGCCTGTAACTCACCAAGTGCTCTAGTCTGGCTGGCCCACAAGCCCAGATAGGCAGATAGGGATCTGCCTATCTGTCTCTTTGGTACTGGGGTTACAAGCTGTACATCACAATGCCGAGCTTTTTTGTTGTTTTTTTTTTTTCTCTCCTGGGTTCTGGGGATCAAACTCGGGTCTTCATGATTACAAGACAAGCATTCTACTGAATAAGCCATCTCCCCAGACCCCCAAAGTAAGCTGTTTTTCATTTGTTTGTTTGTGTGTATGTAAGATGTTTTTTAATTTTTTTTTTTTTTTACCCTGTACTGCTGATACACATGTAATAGCTTGAGTGCTGCAACTATGGTTGTTTTATTCTGTTTCCCTTATGTTCAACCATAGCTAAATACCAGACTTCCTCATTTTGATCACTTCTCAGAATGTTGCCTTGGGCATGCACGTGGTCTTCCAGGCCCTTAGGGATACTTGCGATTTTATTTTAAAGTCTGGTTTCCTTAAAGTTCTTTGGCATTGGAGTATCTTATTGTTTAGGGAATGTTTGGTCAGAGATTGTGGGTCTCTGGGTATTATGGTTATCAGCTTGACTAAATCTGGAATCAACTAACAGGCAAGCTGCTAGATGTTCCTGTGAGGGATTTTTCTTCTCCGATTAAGGCAGGAGTCTCACCCTAACTGTAGATGGCACCTTCTGGTGGCAGCCCAGATAAAGGGACATGGAAGAAGGAAACCCTGCTTTTGCCTGCCTGCTCTCACTCTCTTGGTAAGTTCATCTACCCTGCTTTCACTGATTTCTTTGCTGCTACTAAAAGCAGCTTCTTTGGTCTCCTGGTGCAGGCCGAAGAGCAGCAGCCGTCAGGGAGCCTGCAGGTCTGGAGAACACCATGTTGGGACCGCTGAGGCATCTGCTTTGGGGACTGAGCAACTGCAGGAGCAAGTCACCCCTCTATTAGTTCTATTCTTATAGAGAACCCCGACTAATACGGACTACTGTGGCCCCAAGAGTGGGTTTTAAAAAGAGAGAATTGTAAGGATGACTTGGTGGTATCTGGAGCTAGGTCTCCAGCTCAACAGAAGATTCCTAAAGATTCTCCTGGTAGAGTGCAGGGCACTGAAAGCCCGTGGTGCAAACTCTTTAAATCACTATGCAAGATAAATAAATGCATTAGATACTCCTGGTTCATCTCTTGTGAGGAGCAAAGAATTTGTTGATCTGCATATAAAACTTTTGACTGGGGCTAAAGAGATGGCTCAGTGGTTAGGAGTACTGTCTGCTCTTCCAGAGGTCCCGAGTTCAATTCCCAGCACCCACATGATGGCTCCCAACCATCTATAATGTGATCTGATGTCCTCTTCTGACATGCAGGTGTATGTGCAGATAGAGCACTCATATACATATACATAAACATTTTTTTTAATCTTTTGACCATTTGTGGGAAAGTGAAGAATAATGCCGACTAGTTATTTCTAGTACCTCTGGATAAAGTGAAAAAGGAAAGAATATGTTCAGTGATTAAAAATAAGTAAATAACTGGCTCTGTCACCCTGGAAAAGAATCTTCTCTCCTCCAGCAGCCATAGTGTTCACGTTGCCAAAAAGCAAACGAAAACTAAAACCCTCACCATACAACTGTCCAACTTAAACAAAACTGCAGTCCAGCCTTGGAGGGTGTCAGCAGCTAAACCGAGGGTACCGCTTACTAAAGAACAGGACCCTTGAACTTGTGTGGGAGAACTCTGAGGAGGCCGGAGCTCCTGAACTCTCAGGCTGATGGGTTCATTTTGGCTGAGGAAATCATCTTGATTAGAAGAAATGTGATTGCTTAGCGATTCGCGAGCTTGTCAATGTAACAACCACAGCACTTCTCTTAAAGGAATGAAGAGAGAATTTATTCTGGAGCCATTGTGACTGACCATGGCCAGGGAACACAGATTTCTGTTACACCAATTTTCCATGTTCCAATGTGGAAGCAATTTCACATCTTTTTTTTGTTTGTTTTCAAATAGTTTTACAGAATAATGAAAGTCATAAGTCATAAATCAAAGCAATTTTAAAATACATTGGTGGGTACACCAGAGAGGTGGGCACAAGATGTGGGGAGCTAGTCTCTAGGCCCAAGACGTGATCTGACGAATTCTTAGCTCATGGAGTGATGGAAGCCAGTGATCTGCTAATAGCTTCTAAGAGGTTTTAACTTATCACAAGGAGGTAGTGCAGATACAGAGTGAGGCAAGGAATATAACTCTTCCAGAAGGTTAAAACTAGCCCAAGGTAAATTAGCCACTGAATCTAAAAAATTCCAGTTTCTCACAGGTACTGAAACCCAGTCATTCCATCAGTCTCTGCAGACATGATGCTTTCTAAGAGTTATTTTTCATTTTGTTTTTGTTTTCACAGTCAATCATAGCTTTATATATATATGTGTGTGTGTGTGTATGTATGTATGTATATATACACACATATATCAGTGTTCTGTTTGCATGTATGCCTGCATGCCAAAAGAGAGCATCAGATCCCATTATAGATGGTTGTGAGCCACCATGTGGTTGCTGGGACTTGAACTCAGGGCCTCTGGAAGAGCAAGCCAGTACTCTGAACCACGGAGCCATCTATCCAGCCCTATCAGCCATAACTTCTTTTCAGGAATTTTCTCATTCACAGGCTGTAGCCAAGGGACTTGAAAAGAGCATGACTGAAAAATTGGTAAGAAAGACATTCAGGAAAGAAGTTTTTCCAGTGTGTCTCTCCAAATTGACAAAGGCTGTGAAGATACATGTGTCTCATACAGATGTTCATCCGAAGGTCAGTTCTGCAGAGGAAGAGTTCAGTAATCAGGGAGTTAGGATGACCCACTTGATGAAGAGTCAGTTTCTCAGTTACCTTTCTAATACCATGACAAAACACCATGACCAACGTGACTTATACAAGAAAGACTTTAACTGGAGTCCATGAGCATTGGGCTGGGAACAAGGCAGCAGGAGCAGGCAGCGGGCCTGGTGCTGGAGCAGGAGATGAGCGCTTGCATCTGATCCACAGGCAGGATGCAGAGAGCGCCAGCTTGAAGCCCACCTGCAGGACACACCTTCCCCAACAAGGGCACGCCTTCTAAACCTCACCAAATAGTTCTAGCAACTGAGAACCAAGCATTTAGACAGCCAGATTCAGGGCTGTTCTCAAATGACCACAGCTTCTTTCTCAGGCCATCCTTGTCCTTGCCCAATAGACCCATGAACAAAGTGGCCATGGGGCAGAGGTGGAAGCTATGCATGCATCCAAAAACAGACTCCCGCTCACCCTGGCTAACCTAGCTAGGGCTCCTGCTGAGTGCCAGATCTGCCAACAACAGAGGTGAACAGTGAGCCCTCTGTAAGGCACTGGGGGACAGCTACAGAGATGTAGGGAGACAGGGAAAGAAAGAACGGGCTCTCCAGGGTGGCAGCTTCTTTTCTCAGAAGCCATTTCAAGAAGAGACACTAGGAAGGTGCAGCATGTGGTAGGAACATAAGCAAAACCGTTCTGTGACACTTAAAGAAAACATCTTGTGTCACTTGGCATAATGGAATGCCTGTAAGAAGCTTGCCACCAGCAGCTTCAATAAAAGCTCGGAGTAAGAAGTTGTGACGTGTTAACGGACTGACAACATGGCCACTCAGGTACAGCTAAGCCCAAGACAGCTCTTCCTGTGCTAATGAACTAACTCCAAGGTGGCACCGATTTGCTGGTGAACTAGGCCCAAGCTGTGAACGCTGATAAGGCGAAGCTACCGCCCAATGATACGAAAATTGGACCTTTGGGAAAGGACTCCAGGATCGCAATGCCACGCTCTTGAGACACAGCTTTTTGGCCTCCATGCTGCTGCCCATCGGCGAGAAGGCTTGAGACTGGCCTCTGTGTGTGGTGGCCTGGCTTCAGTGACTGTTGAATTTGCACCATCGCTGGACTCACACATGCCCACTTGTCAGTGTTAGCTGCTGGCCGACACTCTCAGGGACCTCCTGGGCCTCCATTGGTGCCATCCTCCCAGCCTGCCACAGCTGAAGGACTTCATGGCGGATGTGGGTTGGGCCTTCGAGCTTCTGAAGCATCGTCACCAGGAAAGATTACCCAGTGGAACACTGCGGCAGCATCTCTGCCCCAACAACTGTTCCCCACTTGGTGAGGTGCGGTTTAACATTTATATTAGTATATAAAGTATTATATATTGTATACTTATATATTTATATTTAAGGTATTCTATTTTATATACGGAATTATATTAATTTCATTAATATAACATTGTGACCGTAAGTATTATATAAGTGTTATTATAGCTTATCAGTATTATAAGGAATGTTTGAGTGAATAAACCAAGCATAGTCAAAAGACAGATCTCACGTGGACATCCTAATCACTCAGTGTCTCACGGCCCACAGGCCGCACTCTATAACAGCACTGTTAACAGGACCAATATACAAAAAGGGAGGACACGGTGCCCTATAAAACACCCAATCCAGAGGCCTGTTAGCAAACTCCCGGCCCTGGAACCCTTCCCATCCTTCCCATCCTTCCCATCCTTCCCATCCTTCCCATCCTTCCCATCCTTCCCATTCCAAAGGGAGCTGTTTGCTTGCTTCAGTAAAACACAGCTTTCGCTTTCTCTGTGTCTCAGTTCTTGCTCTTTCCTAGACATTCAATTCTCTGTCCTACAAGACAGAGTCAGTGATCCCCTAGGTGAACACCAGCACTCCAATTACAGGACCATCTGCCAGAGTGACCAAGCAGGGACCCGATGGTAAGTTCACCCCATTTTCCCATTTCCACCCTGGAAGGTATCACTTTGCCCTTACTTGAATAGATGCTTAATCTGGTTACGAATCTGTCTTTCCTTCACTACCACACATATAGTATTCTACACAACACTGCTTCTGACCAGGGAGCAATAAGGCCCAAGAAGTACAGCAGTGGGCCCAGTTCATGGAAGTGACTGGTTTTTATCATTTTTACCATGTTCCTGCCATCCTGAAGAATCTGGCTTGAAAGACCTGTGGGAAAAATAATTTTTTATTTTATGTGTTTGGTGTGAGCATGTCAGATCCTCACAGTTGTGAGTTGACATGTGGGTGCTGAGAATTGAACCCAGGTCCTCTGGAAGATGTACTCTTAACCACTAAGCCATCTTTCCAGGCTCAGAAAAATCTTTTAAAAACACAGTATAGCAACAATTATGTGGCAATAGCTTACATGGCTGGGGCAGGGTTCTCTAGAGTCTGTATATGGTAGATGGTACTGATTTTCATATAGGCAAGATGCATGGGTCCAGGGATCAAAGGAAACGAGAACAGTTCCTCTCTCACTGTCATGACTAGAAGTCCACTAGCAGAACTTGGGTTTCTTGTTCTCATGACTTTGTGTTCTGCGTGCCAAAAGTTATGCTCCAGAAGGACAGTGTGCTTCTGGCACGAGGCACAGCAAATGCTCCATTAAACTAGAAGCTAAGACTCCTCCTCTTCCTGGCCACCTGGGCTCCTCATACCATTGGACCAGTAGTCTAAAAAGGAACAACAGGACATATGATTGACCCAGACTTCAAGGAAAAACTGGATGAGTCTCCACAATGGAGGTAAGAAATGCAGATGACTGAAATGCAGAAAATCCTTTAGGATGTCTCTTGGTGTTAACATGTCAATGAAAAAAATCCAATCACCCAATCCAGGTTGGCTGTTAAGTGGCCTAGAGCCGTCAAGAATGAAGGTGCTGGTCACCCCTTCATACAAAGAACCAAAATCTGCTGAGATGCCTGCTGAGGGTAGGTGAACTGCAGAATGGGAAGTGGAATGAGCTAGGTAAAGCCACACATGGGATCAGTTACAGTAATGAGGGCTCTAATTGACATAAGCGTTTTTGTTTATGTCTTAGTTTGAGTTTCTATTGCTGCGATAAAAGCACCATGACCAAAAGCAACTTGTAGAGGAAAGGATTTGTTTTATCTCGTAGTGTATAAGCCACCATCCAGAGGAGTCAGGGAAGGAACTCAAGGCAAGAACCTGGAGACCGGAATCGATGCAGAGACCATGGAGGTGTGCTGCTTTCTGGCTTGCTCCTTACGGCTTGCTTTCTTATACCATCCACAGCTGCCTGCACAGGGGTGGCACAGCCCTACGTGATCTGGGGCCACCCACATCAACTATTAATTAGGAAAAATGCCTGCGCAGCCTTGCCCACTGGTCAATTTTGTGGGGACACTTTCTTAACTGAGGTTGCCTCTTCTTGTGTGACTTTAGCTTATGTCTCAAGTTTACAAAACACTAGCCAGTACAGTCCTGTTCTGCTCAGAATGTGTTTGTGAAGACACCCCCTGCCACACACACACACACACACACACACACACACACACACACACTAAACAGATATTGGTGTCTTCTTTCCTTTGTTTATAAGGTTGCATTATACTGACTGAAATATCAGTGGTTAAGTGTTGCAAATCTGTATTATCAAATTTAAGTTATGTGACACTGAAAGACTAAACATTCTTGGGAAGAAATAATATGTTTGAGGTTGTACATGAGGCCATCATATCATGTTAGGAAGAATTATGACCTTATTATGCATTGCATTTGGAAATAGAGCATGAGGAGAAGTGACCGGGTGTCAAGCTGATGAGAGGCAGACATGTGATGGATAATCCTGGTGGTCAATTTAACTGGATCAGAAACCAACCAGAAGGCAAACTGCTGGACTCCTGGGAGGGATTTTTCTCGTCAGATTATTTGAAGCAGAAAGGCCCACCCTGTGTGTGGGTGCAACCTTCTGGTGGCAGCCCTGATAAAGTAAGCGCTGAAGAAGTAGGCCCTGCTTTTTCCTGCTTCCCTCCACTCTCCACACGCTCAGCTCTGCTGCTGCTGCCGAGTCCTCCTCTCATATCAGAGCGAGCTTCTTCAGGGGGAGGCAGCCAGCCAGCCTCTTGGACTCCGCCTCTCTGGTGTGAAGCAGCTGCTGTTGACTGCATAGACCATATCATGTAATTCTGTCTAATAAACGCCTTCTTACTACATATCCATTCTGTTCCTCTAGAGGACCCTGGTGCACTGAAAAATGGTTCCAGTGCTTCGATATCTTGTGATTGCTCCTGTGTGGGTTGAGCCCAGTATTTATGCATAGACCTCCAATCTCGCAGGGGGCTCTTTCCAGGCTGTCTCCTTTTCTTTGTTGTATTTCTTTGTGCTTTGTCATGTTTCCTGTTGCAGTCATGGAGTCACTCAGTTCTTTGTGTTTGTGCCTGTACATACATGTGGATACATGTGTGACTGTGTGTGGGGGTCAGAAAACAATCTCGGGTACTTATCCTTAGGTACCGTTCACCATCTTTTTCTTCTCTTTTCTTACATTCCTTTTCAAGACATGTTGCCTATTGCCCTGGTACTTGCCTAATCGTATAAGCTAGCTGACTAGCAAACCTCAGGGATCTACTGTTCCTGTTTCCTCAGCGCTGGTACTATAAACACATGCCACCACATCTGGCTTGTACATGGGTTTTGGGGACAGAATTCAGGTCCTTGCACTTCCAAAGCAAACATTTTACAACAGAACTACCTTCCCAGCTCCCTTTAATCTCTTATTAAAACAAACAAACAAACAAAGTCCTCCATTATCACTAACACTTTTAGGAATGGAATTTTACACCCTCTGTTCCAAACAAAATAAGTCTCCTCAGACACAATTAAGAGTTCTTAATTGTGACCCTTCTCTAGGAAGAATCACTATGATACCAGACAAAACAGGGTTTAAGGTGGTGACTGTGTCAGGGTTCTCTAAAGGGAGCATATACACACACACACACACAATTTATTGGAGTGGCTTAAATATCTGTGGTCCAGATATTCTAACAATGCCTGTTTCCTAATGCAAAGTCCAAGAATCCAGTAGTCCACAAGGCTAGGTATCTCAGCTAGGTCTTCAGGCTACAATGGAATCTGTAAGAAATAGGTTTTAATAATAGTGAAAGAATGCCTCAGCAGCAGGATGGATGACCTTACCAGTGAAAGTGAGGGCAAGAAGTCAGGAAAAGCTTCCTCCTTCCATGTCCTTTCATGTGGGCTGCCACCAGCTGTGGCCCAGATTTGGGGTGAGTCTTCCCACCCCAGATGTCCAATCAGCAAACTCCCTCCAAGGTGTTCCCAACTGCTCTATCGTTGATTCCAGAAACAGTCATGTTGACAACCAAGGTTAGCTGCCAGAGATCTTTGAAAGATTAACAAGATTCACAAACCTTTAGCCGAATTAACTAAGAGAGAAAATTCAAGTGAATGAAATTAGAGACAAATGGGGAGACATCGAAACAGACACTGAGGAAATGCAGGAAATCATAAAGACCTACTTTTTAAAAACCTACGTTCCACCAAACTCAAAAGTCTAAAAGGATTAATTTCTAGACATATTTTGCCTCCCAAAGCTAAATCAAGATAAAACAATTTAAATAGACCCATGACATTCAATGGGATAGAACTAGTAATGAAAAATCCCCCAACTTACTGACTAGAAAGATGGCTCGAAAGTTCTTCCAAAGTTCTCAATTCCATTCCAGCACACACATGGTGTTTCACAACCATATGTAACTCCAATTCCAAGGGATCCAGTGCCATCTTCTGGCCTACACTGGCATTACATGCAGGTGCTGCACAGATATAAATTCAGGCAAAACAACATATACACATAACATAAAATAAAATCCTTTAATTTGATTCCAGCATTTGAAAGGCAGAGGTAGGCAGATCTATGAGTTTGAGGCCAGCCATCCAGGTCTACACAGAGAAACCCTGTCTTGAAAAAACAACTAACCAGTCAATCAAACAAACATGAATAAACAAACAAATGCCTCCCAACTAAAACAGCCCAGGATGGACTGAGGGCAGAATTCATGGACTTTCAAAGAATTGATACCAATACTCCCAAATTATGTGTAAAGTACAAAAGTAAGGAACCTTTCAAATTCTTTTTACAAAGCTACTATTAGCCTGATTTAAAAACCAGACAAAGATCCAAAAACAACAATGGAAAGAAAATTATGGGCCAATATTTCTAATGAACATGGATGCAAAACCACCATGATCAAGTTGGTTTCATCCCAGACATGCAGGGATGGTTCAACATACATCAGTAAGTAAATTCAATCCACCCCCAAAACAGACTAAAGGACAGAAAACAATGGTCATCTTCTTAGATGTAGAAAAGGCCTTTGACAGAACTCTAACAACAAAAGTTCTAGAGAATCTCTGACGTATCTCCCACATAATAAGGGCAATACACAGCACCTGGCAGTATCTGGCTAAACAGAAAAACTCAAAACATTCCCACTAAAATTAGGAACAAGACAAGAATGTTAATTATCTTGCCTCCTGTTCAATATGGTATATAGTCTTTTCTTTCTTTCTTGAGATAGGGTTTCTTTGTGTGTAGTTTTGTCTGTGTTGAAACTCACTTTGTAGACCAGTCTGGACTCAAACTTACAGAGATCCATCTGCCTTTGCCTCCAGTGAGCTGGGATCAAAAGCATGTGTATACCACATGGCTGGTATACAAAATCTTAGCTGGAGCAATTAGGAGATGATAAAAAAGAAAGAAGTCAAAGTATTTTTATTTGTAGATATGATTCTATATATAAAAGACTCTAAAGACTCCACAGAAATAGCTTGTGGCTGATAAACATTCAGCAAAGTAGCAAAATACACAATAAGTGCACAAAAATCAGTATATAGCATTCCTATGTACTAATGACAAACATACCAAGTAGGAAATCAAGAAAATAATCCCACTTACACAGTGAGAGAGAGAGAGAGAGAGAGAGAGAGAGAGAGAGAGAGGTAATTTTGTAATTTTGACTTCTTTAATAAAAAAAAATAAATATTTTAAGAACATGGTTTCACTTTAATCCCAGCTGTGTGGATAAGAGGCTGCTTCACAGCAGGTGACTATGATTTGCCTCTTGCTCTAGCAGAGGTGTGGTTTTGCCAGCTGCAGACAGTTTCTGCAACTGTGTGATGTTTGGAATTCTGGGAATTATTCAGAGGACATATACATGCTAGGGCCCCAAGAGATGGGGTTGGGTTGATGTTGTTGGCTGTTTGGTGGTTGGAGACTGTTAGTTGTGGTTCATCAAGTAGTCATGAACAAAAAAATAAGAAACAGATATCCTGACAGCGAAGATCAAACTTGCCCCAAGAAACTTGATGCCCTTAATCAGCAGGAAGTAGTCTAATGATAATGGCACCCCCTTTCCTCTCTATCCTTTTTTCCCCCCTTCTATCTAGTGTGAGGGGGTTAATAAGTGTGGAGAAGGGTGGAAGAGAGAAAGGAACCCGCAAAGTAGCAAACGCCAGCTACAGGAAAGAGAGAGTGAGAAATTTAACAAAGGAAGCAAAAGACACTGGAAAAAAAAAGAACATACAAGATGGAGAGGCCTCCCATTAATATTATGAAGTGATCATGGCCCAGGAACACAGATTTAGGTGATAATTTCAGAAACCTTTTATAGTAACAGAAGAAAGAAAGTCATAAATCAAGATACTTTTCAAACTGGCTGTCTCATCAAAAGCAATCTACAAATTCAATGCAATACGCAACAAAATTCCAATACAATTCTTCACAGAAACTGAAAAAAAAAGAGTCTTAACTTTCATATGTGTGGGGAATTTGGAGGCTCATAGGGAATGGTGAGTGAAGCATCAGCTACAACTCCTCAAAAGATCCTGATCCGCTAGGGACTCCCAGCACACTAGTGACGTCTCAAAATGGATCTGAGGCTAGGGTGGTGACTGCTTCCCCCTTCTTCGTGGAAGTCTCCTAGGATGACTTTGCCCCCCACCCCCATGTCTCCCTCTAGTTGCACCCACCTGACTGATTGTTACTAGTGCTTGAGGCCTTTCAGTTATTTAAGGGCCATTACACTGGATAATAAAGCTAGATCTGCACCTTTGAGTCTGGTCTCTGGAGTCTGATTCCTGGGATTCTGCATGGGCTCACCCCATGCAGAATTGTCACTGCATTGTCACTCACCCCCCCCACCCCGGTTCCTGATCCCCAAACATATGACAACACAAAAGATCCAGGGTAGCGAAACCAATCCTGAACAACAAGAACAGTTGGAGGTATGATCATGGTACTGGAATAAAAACAGAATTATTGACCAGTGTAATAGAGCTAAGAGCCCATATAATAAACCCGCAGTCACCCGACTTTTTTTTTTTTTTTTTTTAAAGGAGGCCAACAGCTACACAATGGTGTACGAGCTATTTTTTAAACTGTTTTATTTGGGGTTCCTTAATGCTTCTACCTCCCTTCCAACCCCCTCGACCTAGGAAGGAGAGAAAGGCTAGAAGGGACAGGGGACCTCTTCAGTTACTTCTGGCTGTCTAGGGTCGCTAGGCTCTTTGGAGTAGTATCAATCTGAGTCGTCAGGATACCCAGTGGTCCAGCAAGACCAGCAGCCAGGGCTTCCCCATCCATCTCCTTTCTCAAAGACTTCTTTCTTTCTCTAGGAGAATTCTCCTTCAAAGAGTCCTCTCTCCAAGCATCTCCCTCGAAGTATCCCTGGGCTCCGGTATTTATACCCTCTCAGAACTTAAATGCGGCTGGCAAAGACCATGGCCTTCCCCGAGCCTCCAGGCTGTTACTAGCTGTCATAGACCATGCCCCCCAGAGACAATTATCAGTTACGAGCAGCTCCATATCCCACACTTAGGATTAAAATAAAAACCTGTTTACATACCTGAGTTGTTGTTGTTTTTTTTTTTTTAAGAAACTAAACTTACACTACACAATGGAGAAGAGACAGCATCTTCAACAAATGGCCGTGGTCAAACCGGTTAACTACATGTTAAAAAATGAAATTACCATGGGGGCTCACGGAGACTGAAGCACCAACCAAAGAGCATGCAGGGGCTGGACTTAGGCCCCCTACTCATATGTAGCAGGTGTGCAGCTTGGTCATCATGTGGGTCCCCTAACAACTGGAGCAAGGGCTATCTCTGATTCCGTTGCCTGCCTGTGGATCCCTTTCCCTCAGCTGGGCTGCCTTGCTTGACCTCAGTGGGAGAGGATGAGATTAGTCCTACTGGGACTTGATGTACTTGATGAACCTACCCATGGGGAAGAAGTGTGAGGGTGAAATGGGGAGAAGAGCAGGGAAAAGGCTGTGAAAAGACTGTAAAGTGATTAAATAAATTAATGAAAAGAAGGAATGAAACTAGATCCTTATCTCTCATCCTGCAAAAACTCAACTCCAAATAGATCAAGGACCTCATCATCAGATTGATGCCCTAAATGATGTTAATGAAACAAACAGCTTTCACTTCTAAATAAATAAATAAATAAATAAATAAATAAATAAATAAATAAATAA